TGAAACATTTAAAAGTAAATGACGTAAAGTAAAATAATTAATTAATTATATGGATATAAAATGTAAATTTCAAATTATAATTTAAAAAAATCCGGTTGTGAGAGGGTGAATGTATGTGAGGAGAGGAGGGGGTGAAAAAGTGAAAAAGTGAATATAAATGGTATTTTGGTCATTTAGTATTTTAAGATTTTAAGACTTTTGTTAAATTTGATTAATGAGATAGAATAGATATTCATCAAATTCGACATCACTTGCTTTCTTAGATTGTTGGGTTTATTAAAATACGTTAAGGTTACGCTTAACAATTTAGGGTTCTTGAGTTTGTTATTTAATTTATAAATTCTGGTATACTACATGTTTGTCTTATATTTCTAATTTATTGATCTTTTACTTTCTGAGTTTTTGACACTGACAATTAATTCTTTCTGTTTATTAACTATTAAACATTCTTAATTATCTTTCAATGAATTTGTTCTAAACTGATTTAATGCCAAGTGTTGACATGTCATTTTATTACCGGTTGGTTTGGTTTCTTCTTTTAGCCATCTAGTCTATTATTATGAATTAATCGAACTTTGTATTGATATATAATATGTTTATTTGCTTTCAGTAGTGGTCTCTGGTCAGGATCAGAAACCAATTCGAATTTCGGATGGCCATCCTCCTCGTCCCTCGAGAACATGCGTGTTGTCCCGATAGGTTGAACTGCTAATGCCTTTGAAGAAGATGACTCTTATAGACAACTGACGTGGTATGGGTAGATGTTACTGATGATGAATACACTTGGCTTGAGGGGGTATAGCTCAGTTGGCCCCCTCGTTTTGACGTTGGGTTCGACCTCGATAACAAAAAAGAAATCCATAAGAACTTACTAATTGTTTGGCAAAAATAAGTTAGCTTATTTTCTAGGTACATGTTTGGATGCACATAACTTAGCTTATAAGTTATCTTATTAAAACGCTAATTGGAGTTGCGTTTTGTTAGTTTATTTTCACTTTTTTTCAATTATAATTCTCATTAATATTAATCAATTATTATTAATTGTATATTATACATTAATATTATATACTAATTATTTATGATAATTATTAATAATATCAATTATT